GGGCACCTACCTGGCGCCCCAGTTGTTCTGTCCCAGGCTCGAGATTCAGCCGCTGTTGAAACTGATCAGTGGCTGATTCCAGAAAGCTGGGGGCAGAGCAACTCTGCCTCTGGCTTCCTGTAGTCAGCCCCTGGTCAGTTTCAGCAGCAGCGGCTGAATCTGGAGCCAGTTCCGAGTTATGTACAAATTCAACTTAAGAACAAACCTATAGTCCCTATCTTGTACGTAACCCGGGGACTGCCTGTATAGATAAAAACTTACAAATTCTATACAAGTCTATATTTTATTTTCAGAAGTTTGCAATCCTGAGGTTCAAACAGTTTATTCACATAGTTACAGTTAGTAACACTTTTTTGTGTGCTTGAATAGAGAAAGGGACATAATCCATGGACATATGAACTCTTATTTAAAAAAAAAAAAAAGCTTTCTGGAGCAGAGGCTTTGAAATCTCATCTGAAAATCAAACAGAACTATCTAAAAATCTTTCCTCTAATGTTACTCTTGGATAAATACCTGAACACTTAGAACCAAGACAAGTGTAATAGACTATGTACATTTTGTTTTGGGTGCTACAAGTAGTTTTTATGCCTAGAGTTATAGAGAACAGGTCAGGCTAAATTTATGACAATGCATGTTGCAGGGAGCAACACCATGCAGCAGAAGAAAAGGGGAATATTTCATGATTTAAAAAAAATAAGGCAAATAAAATAAAATAATTCTTCTGTGACCAAATTCATAGGGCACGTCCACGCTGTGGCACTATTTCGGGATACTTCTGGTATCCCAAAATAGCTATTCCGTGTCTTGACAGTGCGCCCGTTATTTTAAAATATTTTGTTTTGACAGTGCCCTAGTCCGATGTCCCTGTAAACCTTGCTCCGTGATGATTAAGGAACATTTCAAAATAGAAGATTATTTCAAAATTTGGTGCTGTGGTGCCAAATTATGAAATAAGCTATTTTGAAATACACTCAAAATAAGCTACACAATTTGCGTAACTCAAATTGCATAGCTTATTTTGAGCTAAGGGTGCAGTGTAGACGCACCCTACAGAGATTCAGTGGACATGTGTCTTCATGAAACTAAAAATCTGTGGAAAGAAACAAGGCCCATAATGTATTTGTTGTAGGGGGCAGAATAGTTTATTTTAGGAATGATACAGTAACTTTGGGAGGGGTTTGCTGCACACAAGAATACATGCATTTTATGGCCACTTTTAAAGGGTCGTTTTATTAGGCAACAAAATATTAAACAAGAATTTACTGTGTTGTCACACCAGAATTAGAGTGCGGGACTTGGCAAACTGCTAACTCAGTGATAGTCTACCTATGTGGGCTATGTGGGTGTGGTATTCTTGGCTGGAGACATGGATCTAGTGCTCCATGGCTGAGACACTGGGGTGGGGGGATGGGCGGCTTGTAAAAGTAGTATGGACAACATTGCTGCATGGATTATTTAAGTCCAGCGATTTGGAAATCACAGGTTGCTCTTTAACCACCAATTTATTACTGGAAGAGGTTTTACACTACCTTGTAACTCCAGAAGATATTGTGACATATCTCATGTGATGCCCCACTGTTCTGTCTTCTTACATTCAACTGTTTATATGGTCCTCCCCCCTCACTACTGTATGTGAGAGTCCCCCAACTATTTAAAATAAGAAATGTAATAACAAGCTCTTTCTCCTTCTTCCATGTCAGCCTGAAGTAGAAATAGCATGATTAAATTACAGGTTTTGTTTCTTTATGTTCGTGTGAGAGTGGGCGTGCTGTGTATTTGTGTGGGTGTACAGAAATTATGGAGCGTAAGCTAAGTCAATGTTGATAGCTACAGTTATCTGTGGTTGAAAAGGAGCAGTTTCTAATATTTAAGGAGAGCTAAAATAAAAGTGTGATTATTAGAACTCATTCTCATTTTTTATCACAGAAAAAATATTCCCCCCCCCCCCTAAATTTCTTTTCCAGTTGTATAATAAATAGGAAACAGCATACTCACTGTACAAGGGGTCTGCATCCATGGTTCTCCATCAATTTGCATAGGCAGCGACTTGCAGGTTCTAAAGTAAAATATATTTAATTATATGAAGAAGAGAGGCTGGACAAAACTTACCCAGGTGATATTTTGAACAGAGCTAGATGAGCCTAGAACAAATGTGTGCAATAAGCAGGATATTTATTGCCCTCATGTGTACATGCAATTTCCACTGCAGTTCTCCCATAGATCAGGTACATGACACACTATCCAGACAAAAAGGTAACACACTTATTTTAAGGCCTGGTATTCTTCTGTAATATTATATATACTATAGGTCAGGAGCAGCCCCAAGTGTACAGATGGTGGCATGTAACTGTTGTGTAGACATAACTTTACATACAATACTCCTCTTAATACACACCAGAGCCCTCTCTACATCCTCAGGATCCCAGAGCTCAGGCTCCAGATTGAGGCAGTTCATCTACTGTGCAATTTATAGCATGAGCCAGCTGGCCTGGGCCAGTCAGACATACCTAATACAAGAGTCTCAAACTTCATTTCACCGCAACCCACTTCTGACAACAAAAATTACTACATGACACCAGAAAGGAGAGCAGGGAATGAAGCCTGAGTCTTCAAGGATGTGAGGGAGCAAAGATAAAGCCTTTTAATCTGAGTCTTGTCACCCGGAGCCAAAGCAAAGGCCTGAGCCCTACTGTCCGGAGCTAAAACCTGAGGCCAGCCTTGGTGACCCTATTAAAAGGGTATCTCTACTCTGTCACCCTAATTCGAATGAGGATGGCTAATGTAGGCATTCGAACTTGCAAATGAAGCCCGGGATTTAAATATGCTCGACAAATTGCGGAGGTTTGTAAAGGGTTCCATGGCCAAATAAATTTGGGAAACACTGATCTAAGCTATGGGAGGTAATTATCTCACTATTTGGCACTGGTGATCCTCAGCTGCAACACTGCATCCAGTTATAGACACCACACTTTAAGAAAGACGTGGAGAAATTTGCCAGAGTACAGATAACAACAATAGAAATGACAGTTTAGAAAACCTAATCAAGGAAGAAAGGCTAACAACAAACAAAACAAACAAACTGAGCATGTTTAGTGATGAGAAAAGAAGACTGACCCAATACAAGCTGCAGATTCTTTTCTGAAGTTCTACATCATAGCCAGTTATGCCCCATTCTGTAGTTGAGTATCTGATTTTCCTAAGTGTAATACTTTATACATTAGAGAGACAAGGTGGATGAGAATATTTTTATTGGACCAATGTCTGTTGCACATCTTTATTGAATTTCATCTTGTTTATTTCAGATCAATTCTCCAATCCATCAATGTTGCTTTGAATTCCATTCCAGTCCTTCAAAGTGCTAGTGACCCTCAGCTGCAAATTTTTTAAGCAGATTCTCTACGCCATTATCCAAATCATTAATGAAAATATTGAATAGTGCCAGACCCAGGACAGAGCCTTGCAGGATCCCAGTAAATACATACATTTCCTCTCCCCCTCCTCCCTGCCTCAGTTTGACAGGGAACTATTAATAACTGCTCCTTGAGCTGGTCTTTCTACAACTTTTATATCCATCTTACAGTCATTTTGCCTAGACTGCATTTCCCTACTTTGGTACGAGAATGTCATGTGGGATTGTGTCAAATGCCTTACTGGAATCAAGGTATGTTACCTCTATAGCTTCCCCAATCCAATATGCCAGAAATGCTGTCAAAGAAGGAAATTAGATTGGTTTATGGTAGCTATTATTTATGACCTATTATCCTCTAGGTGCTTGCTAACTGATTGTTTAATAATTTGTTTAATAATTATCTTTCCAGGCATAGAAGTTAGGCTAACTGGTCTATAGTTCCTCAGGTCTTGTACCTCTTTTTAAAGATAAGTAATGTGTTTGTCTTTCTCCAATCTTTTGGGACCTCACCTGTCCTACATAATTTCTCTCAGATAATTGCTAACATTCTTAAATACCTTAGAATTAATTTCATTTTGTGTGGCTATGTTAAATGCCAACTTGAATAACCCTCATCTAAATATTCTTTAATTGTTTTTTTCCTTAGTTTGTCCTACATTTCTTGTCCATTGTTTTAATATTAATTATGTTGAATATCTGGTCACAATTTACCTTTTTTTTTGTGAAGACTGAAGCAAAAGAGTCATTAAATGCTTTAGCCTTTTTCCATTATTAGCCCACTAAATGACTATTTCCTCACTAAAGAATAGGCTCAATACTATCCTTTCTCTTGCTCTTCCTCCTAATGTATTTATAAAAATTCTTACTGTCTTTTATCTCCTTTGAGAATTGTATCTCATTTTGTGTCCTGGCCTTTCTGATTTTGTCCTTACCTGCTTGTGCTATTCTTTGTACTCATCCCTAAGAATGTGACAATGTAGTCTAAATGATAAAGCACAATCAAATTAGCCAGTTTTCCTCATTGCAGGAGGAGTAACAGTTAATCCGAACTAAGGACTTAGTTCGGATTAACTTCTGACTGCCGTGTGTAGCCGCGGGCAGTCAGTTCGAACTAAGGGGATTTAAAAATGGCGCCTGCCCGGGAACATGCAAATGAAGCCCGGGATATTTAAATCCCAGGCTTCATTTGCAAGTTCAAATGCCTACATTAGCCACCCTAGTTCAAACTAGGGGGCTAGTGTAGACATACCCCAAGATTTTTGTGCAAAACATCCATTTTTGTGCAAAAACTGGCGGATCGTCCACACCTCAAGCGTGTTTTTGCACACACACAAAAATACAATAAATCGTCAGGACAGAGGGCTTTTGCTGGTAGAGTTATTCCTCTCCCCACAGGGAATAACTCCTTTTTGCGCTACAGCTCTTGCGGAAAAAAGCATGTGTGGATGCTCTGCAGGTGTTTCTTGTGAAAAGGGATGTAGTCTAGACACAGCCTCAGAGTATGTGAATAATAAAATCCAGCAATATCAACTCCCAGTCCTCTCACCACTAGACAAAACCACTTCTCACAATAAGGCAAGAGATGTCTATAAGGTGTGAAGGCTGAAGTTAAGAATTGTCCTATTTGCTTTATCATGTATCTTAATGAAAGAAAATCATCTAAATCATGGGTTCTCAAACTTTTAGCCCATGGCTCACCCCGTCCAACAGAAATCTTCCTCCGGACCACCAACCAACCACCTATGATGACAAAATGGGTGCAGGTGGGGGCTGGAGGTGCAAAGTCTGAATGGGAAGGAGAGTGTGGGAGTGAGCTTAAGATGAGGGTCTGGATGGGAGAGGTGCAGGAGTGGGCTTAGGGTGGGGGTTCTGGTCAGAAGGGTGGATGCAGGAGCAGGGTGGGGATGCAGAGTCTAGCATGAGAGATACAGAAGGTGCTTACTTGGCTCTGCTTCCCAGCCACTGCCCCCTGCTGTTCCCATTGGCCAGGATTCTGGCCAATGGAAGCAGTTGGAAAAGCCCCCAGGTGAGCAGTTTCTTGCACTGCTGTTCCCCCAGCCAGAGGGCGAGGAAGCAGCAGCACATGGTGTCGTCCCCTCCGACCTGCAAGCTAGATCTGGCCTGCAAGGGTCAGGGCTCTATCCTCTTTCAGCGAGGAGCCTGAACTGGTGCCCTAGCCTTGCGGGAAGGGTGTGGGTACAGTTCTGGAGTTCCAGCGTGCGCTCCCCAGAGCAGGAAGGCATGGAGAGTCCCAAGCCCATGGTCCACCTGCAAGATGGTCACGGACTTCTGGTGGTCCTTGGACCACATTTTGAGAACCACTGATCTAAATACATGAATTCAGTAAGCAACTTCCTTCAGCAACTTTTCATGGGCATTTAATGTATGATTTTTATTCAACATGTAGCAATAAAATATTTGTAACTTAGAAGATTAAATAATGAGTTTACCTGATGACAACAGATGAGCACTGTGCAAGTCGCCTACCAGCACTTTTCAATCCTGTGTATATCTGACCCATTTCCATGGCTCCTTCCAGACCAACCACTTCCATCAGCTGATCACTCAGATCTGAAACATCATGACAAAATTTTCTCTGAAGTCAACAAGTATCTATTGTCCTGGAAGCAACCTCTATATTTAGACTGCTTAACATAATAAAATACACCTCCAACCTAGAAGCTCTATATCTCTCGTGTTTGTTACAGGCCTCTGAAAGTTAGCACAGGAAAGCCCTTGGCCTTGAAAAGTGACTTTTCTTTGTCCCATAATCATCCATTCGGGTGGTCAAGACAACTTTATTTTGGCCCTTGTGCTTATACATTTTGATACAGATTTTAATTACTTGATCACACAATATATTTTTCCCAGAGGACTTTTGCCTCATTCATTGCCCAGGTTGAATGCTCAATGGGATTTAATTAAAGTATCACGGACATCAATCTGGCATTTCCTAACTTTGGATCACTTGTTTATAATGTATATATTTTTCTTTTTCTGTAGGTCAGTGTCAAAATATTGTGTAACAAAAAAAACCTGTAAAGTATAATTTAAAACAGTATTATTAAAAAAAGTTAACAGTTAATCAAATACTACTTACCTTGATTTCAAGGAACAAGCATAAAATAAACTCAGAATCTTCAGTTTGGAAGACAAAAAAGAGGCTTTAAACCTTAATACACCAGGCTACTTTGAGAGGCAACCAAAATGAGTTAAATTCTATCTGAAACCTGCTAAGCTTGTTTTGTGTGAAGCATTTTACAAGTTTTAGTGAAATGTATGTTGCCAAGAACAGATGGACAAGGAACAGAAACATTTTCTTTCAGTTGTAGATTATGCTTAAATGTCCCCTGTTTTATAGGGTGGCTGCTAATATCCTTGTTTCTGAGAGACATACTAGCCAATGAAGTAAAAAGAGGACAGCTAAAACCTGAGAGGTGAGCATCATGGCATTGACAAAGGACAGAAGGAAATATTTATATTTGTAGCTCACACTTCACTGTAGTTTGAATTGCATGTTATTTTATTTAAACTGTGGGGTTTAATTAAACTTTCAAAGGGAGTTTTCTATTGACTTCATTGGGACTTTGAACCAAAGTAGTTAACTAAAATATATATATTAAAGGAGAAATTCAGCAAAGTGCTAGAGTATAGCTGGGAGGGATCCTAACTATTTTGTTAACACCCAGGAAATTTGGTTCTGTCCACTACCCTCATTCTTATCTTTTCTTTATTTCCTTGCTATTTTATTTTTCTCAATGATAAAATAAGAGAGAAATCAGTGTCGTACAGTGGAAACTAAACAAAAATTAATACAATTCCTGATTATTATGGACAACATTAGGACAGAAAATGGAGAAGAATGTATGTTCTTTGATGGACATTTATATTTCCAGCTTTCTATCAATGGATTTGTTAAAAGGATAACATTCTTTTAAGACATTTTCACTGAAGTTAGGGATATGCATATGTATTTTCAACCTGAACTCTAAGCTTAAATAGAATTTTACTTTCTAAATTACCTTAGAGGTTTAAAAAAGGAAAGTGTTACTCATTTGCCAAACTTCTTAGATTGTAAAAGCACGCCGAATTTTATAGACTATTAAATTGTTAAAACATTTCTGGCCAAAGCAAACATCAAATTCCCATCCACTCAGGAAAAAAAATAAATGGACGAATAATTAAGAACAGATTTTTATTACTGACAGCTCATGCAACAGATGCAAAGATTCAGTATAGTGATATTTGCACTGACTTAAATTTGATGCGTCATTTTTCAGTTGCTGTAAACTTAGTGCCAGCTAACAGCGGGTAACTAAGGACCAATTACTGCCCTTTGATCCACACTGCGTATCTCCAAATATTGTGGAATGTTAAACATTTGAAGAGATGGGAACAATTCAAATGAGCATATAGTAAGTTAGAATCCCACAATATACTTTTACTCTCCAGAAAGTGAAGCCTTTCCAAAAACCTTCACGTTTTTGATGGCACATTGCCAAGTGGTGTGAGTTTAGGTCAAACAGGAATATTTTTAATAGTAAGCTTAAGTAAGTCAGAGTCTATCTTCAGAAGCAAGTGGCATTAACACCATTGTAGTGAACACAACATAACATATGACTGATTTTGGAAAGCTTAAGTTATTATCTTGTGCCTGCCTCATCTATTTGACCAGGAGCAAGCTGTATTACTAGAAGTATTTCAACACACCTTCCAGCTAAATTGACTTTGATGATAGCTTAGCATGAGAAAGAACTGAAAAGGGAGAGAAGGTTTTGGCCTCAGGTCTAAAGGCCAAATGGACTAACTGAGAAAAATGTAATTTCTTTTGGTCTGATAGATACAAATATTGACATTGTCATTAGAACACCATCCATGAGAAGAACACTTAGGGAAATTGCTTGTACCAAGTGAGGTGACTGAACATTTTATGGTATTTATGGGGCCAGAAAGAAAAATGAAAAGCATGTCACATATTGCTGACAGTACTCAAATAAATAATACTACCAATATTTTCAGGTATATTATATTACTGCTGCATTACATGTATGTTGTCATTGTACAAATAAATTGCCAAACATATTAACACATTTGTTTCACTCTAGATGCATCCTTCATTCACTCTAGCAAGTTTTAACCAATGCTAAGAGGTTGAAGATCAAGTTTTCAAAAGAGCTCCGCACCCAATGAGAACTGCTAAGCACTGAGAACTTTTGAAATTCTGGCCCCTTTGTTTAGGTGCTTAAATGGGAGCTGAACTCTTACAGCAAATCTGGCTTGGAGAGTACTTCAGCATCAGTGTGTGAGAAGAGTGTTTTTTAACTGCTGCCTTTGGGTTCTTGAGTCAGTTTGTTCTACTTTAATCTTTGTGGAAGAAATGAAGGCTCCCACTTGTTTTCTGTATCAATAAGCTGCTAGTCTGTGTGGGAATGTTTTCATAGCACCATGCCTCTCCTGCCCTCTTCTATAAACCAAACTACTTCACGTGTCTCCTTGTATTAGCACCATCAGTAAACAAAGCCAGCTCTCACAAGGGAATGCTGATGTCAGCAGATTCTCAATAGTATGCTGGGAGGTTTTTGACCCCTTGCACTCATTCCTGATGGGGGAGGGGATAAAGTCCCTAAGGAGATTGCCAGTCCAGTTCTTTCAATCAGGTGAGGGAAGTGAGAGAGGGGAAAGAAGTCAGAAAGCGACTCTAGTGATGGACAAAATGACATATGTGACTATGAGCCCTTTAGGATTCCTCTCAGCCCCAGAAGATACTTTCCTGGAGACCTTAACAAGAAGTTTATTTCCCCTTAATTTAACATTTCAATGTACAATAGTATAATGCATTTGGAATTATCTATGCATTTAAAGCAAGGAGAGCAAACTGGAATGGGGGTAGGGATGTACAAAGTGTGATTAGAAAAAGTGATTTACATAGAGAACTCTGTAATGGAACTGTTTTTGATATCCAATTTATCTTGATAATATATAAGTATTGCAGTCCTGGCAAGAGATTGAAAGAGTCTATTATATTTGGGGTTACTGCACTTACTCAAGCACATTTGCATAAAAACACTGTTGGTCAGTGGTAAATCTGTCTCTGGCAGCAGTTTGTCTTTAGAAAGTAGGGACTACATGGCTGACTATATTTAATTATACCCTCGCAATCATCATGCTGGATATTTTTTTGGTTACAAAGTTAAAATATAGAATAAGAAGTTGAAAACTGGTGAGTTGCCAGATATTCTTAAAAGACTGCTGAGTTCAACGTTCCCATGATATGAATGATCTAGGATCTGCTCAGAACACATGTATTAAAAACACAATTTTCCATTATGCAGGAATGTGGGGACACTTTCATACAGGAATAGGAAACATCTATAGCTACATTGCATGAAGGGCTAGAGATACGTTTGATGTAACAGTGTATGTCTGATTTAAAGTGATCATTTACTGGCTTACTTATGTGGTGTTCGTTAAAACAAATTGCCGAAATAATCCAGCAGCTAGTAGACAGATATACCACAGCAATGATAATTATTTATACCTGCAGGCCTAACTGAGATGAGGGCCCAGTTATTCTAGTGCTTAGCAGATACAAATAATCAGCACATGCCTCCAGAACTTATAAACTAAACAGAAAAGATGGACAAAGATTTGGGAAAAGGAACTATTATGACTCCAACTTTACAGATGGATAAAAGACACACAAATAGATCAATGCTCTGATCCTGCAGAAGATTGATGCAGATGCTTAACTTTACACACCCTGACTTGTTCCACCACAGTCTAAAAGGCTTCTACGCTCTTCACAAAGTTAAGCACATACATAAGTCTTTGCCAGAACAGAGCCTAAATGATATGACCAAGGTCACACATGAAGTCTACTCATAACTTTAAAGTTATACAACATGCAGAATTTGACACAGTTCTGACTAGGCTGTGAATTTCTGAATAAGTATGAAAGTCTTTCATAAACACAAAGACTTAGGTACAATCTACAGTATCTAGACTCCCAGAATTGTCCTTTATATTTCATGAACATATAGGTCATAAACCCATTTATTTTGTCCAAGATTTTGTGTAATATTCATTTCCATATATTTCATCCCTTGGAGACACTCATGCTATAGACTCATACTAGTCCATAAACATTTATATACACACATGCAGCCTTTCCCCCAAGAGAAGAGCCAAGGGAAGAATTTATTTTGATTTACCCTTTATGAACTGGTGCAAGAATAGTTTTTTTGGAATAGGATTTTAAAATTAATGCAGTTTGTACATACTTAAAAAGAGAACATAATGAGTGAAATCCTGGCTCCACTGAACTTAATGGCAAAACTTCCATGAGTTTAACACAAAGATTTTCTCCTCAGATGAAATCACTTACCAGATCACCCTATTATTGTACATTGGACTTTCTGTACATAATCACTACCTGACTCTTATCAAACAGGCAGTGTAACGAGTTTCCTAAGAACTAGTTGGTGATGGAATAAGGAAGAATATGGCCTGATATTGTGAATCATTTAAATGTGCACAAAAGATCTTTATAACATTTTTCTTATGTGAATTTT